AAATTCACCAAGGTAAGCCAGGAAAGTGTTGAAAACCCAGGAGCACTTTCATCGTCAATAATTATTTAGCCCTTGGTTCATTGAGCAAATGTTTATTGAGCACCCACTGTATCCCAGACACAATCTTAGGGGTCTGAGACTACAGCCCCAAAGAGCCCTGACAGCACAGAGCCATGGTGTAAAGGTATTAAAAAAAGACATAAGTAAAAGTTTGAAACAGATTCTATTCAACTCCTCATTAGGCATCTATGAAGTTCAAGACACTGTGTTCATCTCAGGTCAGCGGTGACTTGATTTTGCAGGGAAGTGTGGCCTGTTTTTCAGGACAGCTGTAGGGTCTTTACATTCACCTTCCAACATAAAGAGTAATGAAGCTGTTGCCAGTGCTTCCCTTCGTGCTCATTAAGCTTCCTCCGTGTTAAGGATTATGTGAAAGCCAAAATTTTATAGACAGCGTACATCAGGGTGATATGATTAAGATGCAAGCCACACATCAAGTTCCACCTACTCTGATCATTTGCTTTCCCAGGCATGTAAATGACGCACAGCTAAGTGCCCAAGAGCACAGGAAACTGGCTTCCAGGGCACTGAGAGAGCAGGGTTATCACAATGTAGGATACAACCCTTTCCTTTAAACTCAGGTGAAGCTCACAGAACAACAACAACAAATAATAATAATAATCATCATCAATTTCAAGTGTACAATTCACAAATAATAATCAATTTCAAGTGTACAATTCGGTGACATTTAGTACATTCACAAAATTGTACATTCACCACATCTATTAAGTTCCAGAACATTTCCACCATCACCAAAGAAATTCTGCAACCATTAAGCTATCATTCCCCATTCCTTCCTCCCTGCAGCCCTGGCAACCACCAATTTGCTTTTTGTGTGTGTGAATTTGCCTACTCTGGACATTTCAAATAACTGGAATAGTACAGTCTGTGACCTTCTGAATCTGCTTCTTTCACTTCGCATAATGTTCTCAAGGTCCATGTTGTAACATAAATTTGTGTTTCCTTTCTTTTATGCCTGGATAATATTCCTCATGTCCATATTCCACATTTCATTTATCTGTAGACCTGTTGATGCACCTGCAAAGGTACTAAAACGCATTGAACCCTACACTTAAAATGGGCAAATGTTATAAAGGTCTATAAAGGATGGAGTCATTAGAACCATACCTGCATAGAGGCAGAAAAATATTCAGCATTATTCTTTTACTTTATGAATCACTAACAATTTTTAAAGTCCATATAAATTTTTAAGTTATTCTTGTAAAAGCAGAATTGCAACCTAAAAATACAGCTCCCTAGAAACTACCTCCCTCCTCGTCCCGACAACACTAATTCACCTAGCTAGAATGGGCTTGGCCATCTGGATTTATTTTTCAACCTCTCAAGGTTACTATCAGAAAAAGTCAAGTTTGAGAGTCACTGATGTAAAGCCATATGAAGACTAAAACAGGTAAGGTCTCTTCTCACTTTATTTTATTCATCTTACCACTGGTCATTAGGATCTGTCATCGTGAAAATTTACACATGTATTAAATCCTTTAATAATCTTGAATTTATAATGCTTTAGTTTCCAAATTATCTCCACAATTGACTTTTACATTGAGAAAAGATTTGTTAATTTATAATTCAATAGATGTGGATCCAATTCTGATTCATCTAACAAGGAAACTGAGGCAAAGGTAGATCATTTGCTGGTTTTTTTAATCTTTATTTTTTTAGTTGTAGTTGGACACAACAATTTTATTTATTTATTTTTATGTGGTGCTGAGGATCAAACCCAGGGCCTCACGCATAGTAGGTGAGTGCTCTACCGCTGAGCCACAATCCTAGCCCAATCATCTTGCTTTTAACCTTAAAAAAATTTTTAAATTTAACTGGGAAGAGATATGGAATTTGGATTCATGCCCCAGGAATTTAAAATATTCTGTTCAGTGAGAAGGTAGTACAGTACAATGGCTAAGGGCATGAACTTGGAGTCAGATGGATCTGTTTACATTCTGTCTCCATTAATAATCAAGTATGAGACACTGTCCACATTGCTGAACCACGTCAATCCTTAGTTTCTTCATAAATCAAGTGAGGATTAAAAGAACCTGACCTAAGAGGGTCTAATAAAAAGGTGGAATGAGCTAACATGTATGCCAAGTGCTTAGTCTAGTACCCCACACACAGTAACCCCTTCAGATGCAGCCTTCAAGATGAAGCCAGGTCCAGTGGTCAGAGGTTTGCTTAGACAAATTGCAGAAGTCTGATTTCTTAACCACAGCCAGATCTACCAGAGTCATGTTCTGCCTGGGAGCACATTCACACAGTTACAGCTCAAGATCTGGTGCAGGCCCAACCCCCAGTTTGATCTCTACCCTGGATTTATTTTGGAAACATTCAACACTATCCAGACAAAAATCACAACATCCTGTGCTTCACGCTGCTGGGGCTACCATTTTGCAAGAAAAATAACAGCTGAGCTCAAAAAAGATGGGAATGAGGAACTGCAACAAGGGAATCACTCCACTGCACCTGGCTCTGAGATGCACTTGTGAAACCACCACGTTCTGGAAGGCAAAGTATCTGCATGGGTATGAAGAGCTAAAAAAACAATTTTTTTTAAAAAAATAAACAGATCCCAAGAGATCAATGGTCTGGAAAAACTCCTGAATTCTAACAGGGCCTGAACATAAACAGTGAGCAATGTTTTAAACAACAATTGTAATTCATTAACCCCTCCAAGAATAACACACGTACAAATACCACAACATGTACACACACACACACACACACATGCATGTGCATATACACCACAACACATCCATACACACACCACATTCATACACACATGTACACACATATGCAGCACAACACGTACACACACATGCACACAACATGTACGCACATACACAAATACATTACAAAATGTACACAGCTATGAAGAATCACAGTGGTTCAGAAAATTAGGCAAAAACACACTTTGCTGACTAGCACAGCTTCCCTCAGAATCTCCTACAGACACATTCACTGACCCTGTGTCACCCAGAGCACTTCAGATACTCCGCTCTCTGTACAAGATCCTACCAACTCAGAAAGTTGTCTTCCTCCTAAAAAAAATGCTTCTGTCATTTGGCCCTCTAAGTTATGATTAGAGAAAAGAAATTTTAAAACATTCCTGGCTATTTGTTTGTTTTTTCTTCTCTGATTTGAACACTCAGTGATGTGCTATGTAAAAGGCACTGGGTTAAATCCCTCAAGGAGATGCACAGGCCTGCTCCAAGCCACCTATGAGCTTTAACAGGGGGGTAAGATGTGCAGAGAATGATAGTAAATATAAGGTGATCATAATAATGACAACAACAACAATCCAGTTACCAAGCTCTGGACCAGAGACTGTACATACACTGCACCTCGCCATGGCCCACTGTATGGGTGTGCAAGCTGGCTTCCAGGGGTGCCATAGTAGTCAAAAACTGAGCTAAAATCCACTAACCACATGACTACCACCAACATGACATGAGAAGGACTGCTGTATCTCAATCCATTTCTGAATGCCAGAGACCCTGGCAATGGCTTTGCTGTATCTGTGGGTGTCAAGTTCAGGGTTTGAAGTCAACACACAACAAGGACCTGAGTCTCCCAGAGCTAGGGAATACACAGCTCCTGAAGGTGCATGACTTCTCAATATAAAGTCTTTAAACTGTGGGCTGGGGTGGGGAACGTACTTCCCTTCTGTTTGTTCTTCCATATACCAGCTCTAGGCCTTAAATAATTTTGGAAAATGTTAAATGCCTATATTCTTTTATTCCACTTATCTAGTCATTTCTCTTCTTACCCTCCAATGTCATTCACAATTTTCAATGTCATGACTTCCTGAAATCATGTCATTCCAAATCTGTTAAAAAAATTTTTAATATATCTGTCTCATCATCCAATTTGACAATAAACTTTACTGATATATTAACTACAGAGCTCAATGCAAGTAAATATCTAACATAAACTAATTTGTTGTAATTAATAGTGATTAAAATTAGACAACAATGATTCATAATATTTTCAATAAATGAAATGCATTTTCAAAAATAAGAATTTAAGAAGAACCTACACTGAATGATCCTGCTAATGAAATTGTTACCTACAGAACACATTTTTCATTATTTAATTGTAAAAAAATATATAATTGAATGATTAAAAATAGATTTTTTAAAAACAACCCTACAATCCCATGTTCCTAACATAAAACTATTGTTTTTATAAAACTTTCTATTCAACTTCTATTTAATACAACTAACATATTTTCCAATATGCACAATTTTGCATGTATAATTTTTTTTTCTTTTTTCTTTTTTTGGTGCTAGGGATTGAACCCAGAGGTACTTTACCACTGAGCCATATCCCCATCCCTTTTGATGATGTGACAGGATCTCATTAAGCTGCTTAGGACCTCGATAAATTGTTGAGGCTGGCCTTGAACTTGTGATCCTCCTGCCTAAGCCTCCAGAATTTCTGGGATTAAGGTACACATCACCATGCCCAGAGGTGCATATAAATTTATATGTACAGTTTTTTCTTTTCTCTCATCTCATGCTGAATCGTGATTAGCATTGTATTATACTAACATCTTCTTATCATTGAATATTTAGGCTGATGAAATGTTTTTGCTACAATAAATGTTACCACACAGATTCCTGCATGTGATTATGCCCAATAAAATCTTAGATGTCTTACTTAGCATAGATTTCCAAGAGTGGGATTATTGTGTCAAAAAAAAAACAAACTTAAAACATCTTTTAATTTCCCGATAGAGACCACAGATCCTTAAAAAATAAAATGTACCAGCCATTGTCTTTGTTTTATTGCTATCTTTCCAATTTCCACAAAAATTCAAGCCTTTGAGGAAGAGGGTGCCATTCCTTCTCCAGACTTCTGTAGTGCCTAGTGGCAGCTCTGAGTTGACCCAGAAGATCTGAGCACAACCAGCAATTGGTACTCACCTTCCCCTCTCCCACTGCCCTTCTGCCTGCTGTTGTGAAGTGGGGGTACCTCCAAGGACGTGATGCCTGACCTCTCCAGAACATTCACTTCCACATTCAGTCTCCCAACCAGCTGCTGGGGTCGCACACTGATGACGTGCTCATACTTCCCAAGTCTTCTCTGCAGAAGTTCTTCATAACTCAGGAGGAAGATGGCTTTGTCCTTGCTGGGAATCACTAGAGAAGCTCTGAACATATCAGCCCCCTTCTCCCTGTCAGGAAGGAAAATGAGGCCACAGGTAGGGTTCAGAGTAGAAAAGGCCAGGTTTCCTCAGACACCTGCCATAATCTTTTAATCAGGATGCCAAGAAGACCAGTGGGCACAGCAGGGTGAGTCCTTAAACTGGAAAAATAAAAATGAGTCTTAAAACAAGTTGAAGACTTGCCCAAAGGAAGGTTACCAAGGACAAACAAATCCTGAATAGAAGGGAATTCAAAAACTGACCTTTCCTACCTCTACCAGAGACAGACCTAAGCGGGCAAAGAGAAAGGGGACCTTTGAGTAGATAAACCACTACAAGAAGGAGCTTTTGGAGTCAAGTTGTGAATTTCACTGCTCTCTCTACAAGGATGGACAAATTAATTCATAATTAGTTTTTTCGCTTTGGTAAAGTTTGGTGGATGTGTTTAAGGCAAAATAAAGGACTGCAAAGTTTGTAAAAATCCGAACTAATCCAAATGCTTTCAGTACTCAGAGTGAGGGTTCTCTGATTCAAGATGACGGGTTGACCACCAGAGGATGGAGAGCAGGAGAGGTGAGTAGATAACGTATTTCAGAAGACTTGGGAGATTCAGTATAAAGTAAGAATTCTATAGCTCAGGACATACTGGAAGGGGCTGCACTAAAGGAAAAAAACAAAGATTTTGTTTGGCATAATCTCGGAGAGACTGCTGACTTTGAGTTCAAGAGGACCCAAGAGGATAAGACTAAGAAAGGGGATCAAATAAAGGGGAAATAATTCTAATTCATATAAGAATGAATGAATAAGCCGATAGACTTCTTGTACTCCTATTTCCCAGAGGTGAAAAGAGACAGAAATACGGAGATGGAAAAGTTCCACTGAACACTGGGCAGAATGAACAGAAAAGGATTGATAGCTAAACCCATTATGGTAAAATATCAGACTACCAGATGAAATGTTAAAGCAATGATACTAGATCACACCAAAGACAAAAGCAATGATACTAGATGTTGAAGGCCTTGAAGCAATACCCCAGAGCTCAAAATGAAAATCACTGTGACCTTTGATTCCATACAATATTATAAAATATTATGAAGGCTCAGAAAATCTATCGCTCACACACTCATTCTGAGGAAGTTACTTCAGAATATATTTCAGCAAAGTAAAGGTAAAAAACAAGAAAGAAAAAAAATATGGAATCCAAGAAATCACAAAACCAACCCACAAAAAAATGAAAAGTGATTCCAGGGTAAATGTTTTGTAATGAGGCTGCAAAAGGAATAACAATATCCATGGATCTGGAGACAGCCATGTTTTCACAGCATGTTTTAATGGTTCTGAAATCGGAATGCCTCCCAATCAGTGATGTCTTCCAATTGCTGTTGGCCAGGCTTCTGGATGATGTAGATGTCATTGCTTCCATAAACTTGGTTACGGCTATTCATTTTGTCCTCATTTCAAATGAATTATGTGTCTTGCTCAACGTTAATAGTAACAAAATTAAGTTCTCTCTCATAAGAGGAAGGCAATTAGAAACTCCAGAAAAAAAAAAACCAAAAAACAGAAACTTGTATGTTATGATCCAACTAAAGTAAGCTGTGGCTGACTCTGAACAAAATTGATAAAGACAACCTGGGAAGCAGCTGCAGAATACAAAGTGAGGTTTAATAATTTGCTGCAGCAAGACAGACCACATACCAGAGGCACTGCGAGGCATCTCACCAAACAAAGGCAGAAACTGGGTTATTATGGGATTGGGGGAAGGGTAGAGTGTAGGTAAAAACTCCATGAAGCTGAGTTTGGACAGGCACCAAGCAAAGGAGAGGTGCTTGTGAGGCCATTAACGTCAGCATGGACACAGAAGGAGAGCCAAAGTTCTGTGTCCTTGGAAACTGTAACTTTTTTAAGATAAACGTGGAATTCTGCATGTGAAAATGCCTTATCTGAAGCTCTGAACCTCATTTGCTTTCAGTATCAAAATGACTTAGGTCTTTTAGACCAGAGCAAGATGTTCATTCTTACAAACTGACTACAAAGGTTCTGACGGTCTTTGATTTTAAAGAACTAACTTTCTCAAAGCTGTGTCCTTTTATTAATGAGGAAAAAAAAAATCACACTTACAAGTTTAGGCCATTTTAATCTAGGTACTTAGATCATTTCTCTGCAAAGGGAACAGAGGCCTTCACATTTGTCTGGTTGAGGGGAAAATGTAATCTTATTAGTGAATACTAGGCTGTTCTTCTGTTAATGTAATTAATATAGTAATTGAAAGGCAAAGGCTATTTATTAGCTTTCAATAAATAGCTGATTTTCAATAAATACTTGTTTCCAAGTTTACAAAGAATACAAGTATCATTATAGATCAGAATTTAAATGTTAATAACATTAATGAAAATGTAACAAGTCAATGATTATGTGACAAAAGATGAGTTCAAGAAATGAATAAAGAGAGGTAGACTGAAGGGTAAGAAAAGGAATGTCATCATTTAGGAAGCAGCGACAGGGATGGGAATGTAGATCAGTGCTTCCCCCCCCCCCATGCATGACGTCCTGGGGTCAATCCCCACATAAAGATAGGAGGGGTGGAAACACTTCATCAGCAGAAGAAGAAAGAAAATAATAATATGGAAATGTTGAACGTAAAGAGAAAGTAGGACTGTTGTAAATTTGCTAAATCCTCCTTCTTCAGATAGTGTCTTTATTTTTATTAAGAAATCAAGAAAAAGCAACACTATCGTACACTTTAGAGTTAGGAGGTAACTACAAAGAAAACTCAGCACAGAAATATTAGAAGCAGATGTTCTAGGAAGTAAAAACCAAGGAACGGTGTAATAAATTTATCTTTTTTATTACCAGTGTTCATCTACTATATTGTTAATCATGTGTACTTATTACTTCAGTTAAAAAAAGAAAAAATATTTGGAAGACAGCAGGAAACAGACCAAGGGGTAGAAAACTTGACACTGTAGAACCGGATTTTTAATTCCTAATTAAACAATACTTACTCATTTTCTTCTGTGGTTGTATTCCTTTTCTCTTTTACCCTATCACCATTTTTCTTTTCTTTTTCTGTAATTTCACCCTGATACACCTTTTCTCCAATAATCCTGAAACATGACAGACAGCTATGTTACCAGCTTGCAGTTCCAAGATAGACTCAAACATGGTTCTCAGAACCATGACAACCCTAGAAAATATTTTTATTTGCCTCTTAGATATTCAGATTAAATGCATTCCAGACGAGGGCATTAGCCTTAAACCACTCATTTCAATCAAGGGCAATTTTCAAAAGACCCAACCCAGGGTGTCTCTGATTCTCCAGGAGAAAATCATAACTGCTCAAACGTCCATGAAGATTCACCAACTTGATTCTTGCCCAGACCAAAATTAAACCCAATGCTTCCCCTGTTTTGCCAATTTTTACCTCTTGAGTCAGAAAACAACCTCAGCTAGTATGTCAGAGGTTTCCTACTGTCTCATTCAGGTCTCAATCTAACCATGGCCCCTCTCACCTCCCTCCCTCATTTCCCTTCCTAAGGAAGCCCCTCTCAATCTTATTTGCCATCCCAGAGTGGACTAGGAGGGGGAAGGGGTGGGAAAGAAAGAGGAAGAAAAGGAAGGAGGGAAGGAAGGTAGAATGGAAGAGATGAAGGCAGTCAGGAAGGTGGGCAGGAAGGAACCAAAGAAGGAAAGAAGAAGGAGAACCAGCCCTCGGATCCACACGCCATCTAATGGGATATAAATCCTTCCCCCACACAAATCTGGACCACTCCCACACAGAGCTCCATCTCTCGCCAGCATGCCACCTACATGGTGAAGTTGGTGATGAAAGCTGAAGCTGGAATCTGCATCTGGAACTCAGCATCCTGGTCCTCAGAAGCCCTGTTCAGCATCGTGCAGGAGACTGTAGTGAAGGCGTAACGAGAAATAATGGTAGACTTCACCGAGAATTCTGTCATCAAGGGCTTGGTTTTCTGTTGAAATTAAAACAACAGGATTCTTCCTGATGCATGGAAACATGGTGAAAACATTT